AAATCCACTTAGACCCAACCACATTTTTAGAGCTATCAAATGGAACTAAATCCCAAGTATTATTGGAAATAAGTGCATTAAATTCATCCTCCATAGCCTCACGCCAAATTAAATGTTTTTGTGCCTCAGAAAAACAAGTCGGATCAGCTGCACTAACAACTGTGTTTAACGTAAAAATTGATTTGGGTTTAAAAATACCAGACTTGGCTCGGGTTTGCATAGGATGAAAATTAAATCGGGGCATAGGTGGGCTGGTGGTGGGAGAGGAAGCTGAACTGGCCGAGGTGGCCGAGGGTGGGGAGGGTGGTGGACTGGACTGGTGACTGGACTGTTCGTGGGCTGAGGTGGCCGAGGGTGGTGAACTGATCTAGCAGTGGCTGGGAGGACCGAAGGGGCTGATGTGGGAATGGGGCTGGTCTCGTCTGGAGAGCAGAGGACCGTGGGTGGACTTTTACTATGTTCATGAGAAGGGGAGTATGATATAGGCAGTGAGTATTCTAAGGGAGCTAGGGGAGTGAGGCGATGTTGGGGTATATGTGGCCTAAGAGTATTAGTGAGGAAGAACTCGGAATTGGCAGTAGAAGTAGAATTGGAAGGGGTTGACTCGGGTGGGGAAGAACGTAAGGAGTTGAAGGGAAAAATATTTTCAAAAAATCTAACATGACGACTGACATATACTATACCTGACTTAGGTTCAAGACAACGATACCCTTTATAGCCAGATGCATAACCAATAAAAACACAATGAACAGAGCGGGTTGAGAGTTTATTTGCAGATGAGGCAGAAATATTGGGAAAACAAGAACACCCAAACACACGCATGAAGGCATAATCCGGAGATTTTTGAAAAAGTCTTTCATATGGAGAAGAGTGACCAAGTATAGGAGAGGGAAGCCTGTTAATAATATATGCAGCCGTAAAAATGCCATCTACCCAGAATTGACTAGGAATAGAAGCTTCAAGAAGCATAGTCCTAGTGAGTTCTAGTAGATGTCGATGTTTACGTTCAGCAACCCCATTTTATTGAGGTGTGTCTCGACATGATTTGCGAAAATAAATTCCATGAATATAAAAAAATTGCTGCATATTAGAATTTACAAATTCACCCCCTCCATCACTTTGAAAATTTTTAATTCTAGTATTAAAAAGATTTTCAACTAAAGCTTTAAACTTTAGTTGCATTTGTTCTTGATCCTCGTTATAAACTTGCCTCGTTGGCAAATTGTATAGATTACTATTATGCTTCTTTTTTTCCAACTCAAAAGTTCGATGATAATTCCATCGACACTAAACAAGAATACAACGAGGTTAGTAATTTACTTCATCAATTGTATAATGAATTTCATACACAGTATGGTAATGCACCCCTTCCCATGCCGCGAACATCTTCTTCATCTAAAGGAAAATCACTTTTAAAATCTGCATTTGGTTCTCTTTTGAAAAAAAGTAGAGCAACTCCCTCTACTGAACAAAGCTCAGTTAATGAGCTTTCTTTGTATCTAACATTGAATGTTGATTATGAAGTTGGGGATGACTTTGACGTTCTTAAGTGGTGGAAGGAAAATGAAAGAACGTTCCCGATTTTATCAAAGATGGCTAAAAAAGTGCTAGCAATGCCGATATCAACAGTTGCCATGGAACAAGAATTTAGTGCGGCCGGCAACGTCCTAACCGATTATAGAACGAGGTTGAGCCCGAGCTCTCTTGAGACGCTAGTTTGCTTCCACGATTGGTTGAAGGCCCAACGAAGAACTCAAGAAATGACCATCGCTCCCACCCGCCACTTTATGGAGGGAACAACCACCGAAGGCGGAGATTCTGATTGATTTTTTATTACAAAATGTATTACATTTTTTAAATTCATCCTAATTCTCAATTGTACTTCTTATTTGAAATAAATATACTTGAATTATTTTATATTATTGTGTACATCAATTCAATAATTCTCAAAAAAAAAAATTATTCAATAATCAATTCAATAAAATTAATTTGTATACTTGTACTTCATATTTCAAATAAATATGCGTTCATTTTTTCATATGTAGCACTTCTCAAATTAATTAATTGGTTGCAAACTTATAACTTACAACTTCAAATAATTTTTGTAAAATCTAAAGGCTGTTTTTAAATTAAAATATGTAATATTAATATGTAAATTAATTAATTGGTTACAAACTTACAAGTTACAACTTCAATATGTAATTTGTTTAAATACTTATACACCTATTTTGTAACATTTGTAAATTATAAACCAAACCACTTTTCTAAGTAAAAATAGTTTTACTTACTTAATTCATTAAACTAATTAACTTATTTTACAAAATGTATAATTTTCAAAAAAAAAAAACATTTTAAATTACAACATAGCTCCCAAACGGCTATATAGCCGTTGGGGCTTAGGGTGGGGGGCAGGGGGGTCCCGGGGGTGGTGGTGTGGGGTTCAAAAAAATCTATAAATACATCTATTTTCTACCATTTTTCTACACCTCTTCTCCATCTTCATCTTCTCTTATTATCCTACATTTCTACAATTCTACTTATACATCTACCATTTTAAAGATTGAAAGTAATTCTTCTTTTATGCAAAACAATTTTGATAAGTGGAAGGACCCGAAGACCGGACTGTGGTGGACAACTTGCAAGTGGTGCAAGAAAGAGTGTTGCTTGGGGCGTTCACACGGAGTCGGGATGCCAATAAAACATATGAAGTCATGTGACAAAGGCAAAACAACAACCAACGGTGACGGAAATCCCAATTGATATTCATTAGAAAATGTATTTCATATTGTTATTTTTTTCTCAATTCTCAAATGTACTTCCTATTTCAAATAAATGCACTTGAATTTTGTTTTTAATAAGAATTATTATAATAATATACTCCCTCCGTTTCTATTTGGTTGACACAGTTTGACTTGTCAAGATTTAAGGGAAAAAAGTTATTGAGGGGTAAATTTTACTGTAGAGTACACTGTTTGGCACTGTTTGAACACTGTTTGGCACTGTTTTCCACTGTTTATGTAAAGATTTGTTTACCAAATAAGGAAATAAAGAAGTGTGGCATTCATTTTGAAACGTCCAAAAAAGGAAAGTGTGTCAACCAAATAGAAACGAAGGGAGTAATATATAATTTACAAAAAAAAAATTAAAAGGCCCGGCCCGGCGGGTGGCCCGGCCCGTGAACCGGGCAGGTGACCCGGCCCGAACCGGACCCGGGGGTTACCCGGGCCGGTTCCGGGCCTCCCATTTCCTGAACCGAGGCCCGGCCCGGGTCCATCCCTAATCCTTGCACCTCCATAAAGCTTGATGCACATTTTAACATCGCTGAGTAAAGTGGTAGTAATGCTTTTAAATGTCAGCCAAATTCCAACCCTCTGCCACACATCTTTAGTGAAGGGACACTTAAAGAAGAGATGTTCCACTGAATCCATCTGTAATTTGCAGAAACAACACCTTCTCTCTCTATATCCATGTACATCATGTTGTCACAAGTCAGCAACCTATTTCTTAACCCAAGCCATACAATAAACGAGAATTTAGGAGGGATATATTTTTTCCAAATCATATTCATCCAACGTTTGCTATGAGCTTTGGTTCTTAAGATGTCATACACCTTACCAGCTTTGATCCTTCCATTATCACAACAAGAATAAAGTCTATTGATCATTGCAGTTTGGCCACCCATCACTTTGAACAATTCATCCCGAATCTTGTACCATGAAAAAGTAATTATACTGTTTTTAACAAGTAATTATACTGTTTTTAACCATGAAAAGTATTATAAACGAAAAATAGCTAAAATGGTCATATATTGTTTTTCGCGAAAGCAACAAGAAATTACTTGTTGCTAATATGCAACATTATAAAAATAAAAATTATATGCAACATTTGATATTACGGTTTGGTGAAAAAGTTGGCTGATAAGCCGAAAAACAATGTTACCAAATGGCCTCATATCAAGAAATAAATTCGGAGCATCAGATTTATTGATTTAAGATAGATTGACTCTAATTGTATAAAAAATGCATTAAAATAAATGAAAAACGTGGTACAATTTTTGTAAATAAATTGAGGTTTTTTTCTTTGTGAAAAAATGGACTTGCGTGCAAATGTGCAGTAGTGTACCATGAAGGATCAAGAGTGGATGATGAAAAATTTATCAAAAGCTCAAAAGTGGAGGTGTTCACATCAGAAGACTACTTTTATTGGAACAAATTGATAAGATCAAGGAGAGATGTATTATAATCACTAATTATATAGAAAAATTATATGTGTGCCCACCCCCTTATACCCACTCTTATACTCCCTCCTGTGAGAGGCTATATTTTGTTTGCGAATCCCGTTCACAGACAAGACATGCACGTTTTTATCTGTGCTGTTTTGTCTATGAAGGAATTCACAAACATAAAAATAGTCTCTAACAGGGTGAGTATAAGGGAGGGTATGGAAGTGGCCACAAATATCAAAGTTGATTTTTAAATGTTTATTTCTTTGATGACACATATACACCTTGTACAATGTTGCAATAGAGACACTCCAAACTCTTCTCTAGATTATATCAAATTAATTTAACTTTTGGTCATGTGAATTTTGTGTCAATTCTATATTTAGTTTATGTTTTTACTTTGTCCATCTTTAATACCTTCTCGTGTTTTTTGACCATTTGTGATCCTTTGCGGTGATCTTGAACACCAAAAACATTAACGAAAAGAACATATATAAATCATAAATGAAAGCCCTATACTCGTATATAAAAAATACTCCCTCCCTTATAACTTTGCCAATTTTCCTCTTTTGGATGTCCCAATAACTTTGTCACTTTTCATTTTAAATAAAGAATTTGTGGTTCCAGTTAATTCTCTCTCATCTGCACAAATCTCAATCATACAATTTTTACTCTATTAATCCTCGTTTCAGTCAAATTTGGCAAAATTATTAGGGACGGAGGGAGTAATCAAAGATGTGAATAAATTATGGAATTGTGGCAATAGCCTTACTACCAAAAGTGCAATAGTCAGCCGGCTATACCGATGTACAGCTTGTATAGTGTCGCAATAGAGATGCACTCAAGAATCGCTCCGTATTTCAAAACAACTCCGTCCGGTTTTGGACCCATACCCGACCCTACTTCTGGGTTGTTTTTGGTTCGGGTCTGGATGAAGGTTGACTCAGGAGTCAGGAGATGAAGGCGCAGTCAAATTTCTCTGCCCAAAGACGTATCTCTTCATCCCTCTTCTTCCATTGTCAACCCACATCCGGGCTCCAAGTAATCCACTAATCCCCTTACTCGTCTCATGTTTTTCCCAGCATGTCGATCTTTCTTCAATCCAAACATGGAGCAAATTCAGCTCTCCTCGGGGCAATCTTATATTTTCTTCTTAGCTTATCATCCCTTTCCCTTTCAGCAGAGTCCCGTTGCAGTGATGGCTGCGACTTAGCTCTAGCCTCGTACTACGTTCCTCGGGGTTCGACTCTCACCTCCATTTCCGACCTTTTCGACTCAGATGAATCGGATATCATGGCCTACAGCCCAAGAGCAAATATCCCCAACAAGGACAACGTTCTTGCAGAGACTAGGATCAACGTCCCCTTCCCATGCGATTGTCTGGAAAACGGCGAGTTTCTCGGTCGTGTTTTCTCGTACCCCGTAAAATCCGGAGACACGTATACCATCGTTGCGAATACGTACTACTCCAATTTGACCACTGTTGACTGGTTGAGGAGGTTTAACAATTACTCGGATACTCAAATTCCGGATACAGCGACGTTGAACGTGACGGTGAATTGCTCTTGTGGGAATAGGGATGTGTCCGAGGATTACTCCTTGTTTATTACCTATCCCCTGAGGCCTGGGGAGAGCTTGGCGTCGGTGGCAAATGCGGCTAACGTCAGTCAAGATTTAGTGGCAAGGTACAATCAGGGAGTGGATTTCAGTGCGGGGAGTGGGCTAGTTTATATTCCTGGAAGAGGTAAGCGTAATTTGCTGATTCGTTTATTAGTTAGTATGTGTTTGGAGAGAGTCAATTGCGATGTAAATGAAGCATTGATTTTAAAGATTGCATCTTTTCTGTGTGGGAGAAGGAGGATCCCGGGCCGTTGGGTAAAAGTTGAGCTTGGGGACCCACATTAATTGAATTCGCCAATCAGGGTGGTATCCTTTGGCCATGGAGAGGAACTGGGTCTCTAATAGGCAGTTAGTTAACTGGAAAGTTTCCTCCTTTTATTCTCATTCTTGATTGAAAGATTGTTATGGTGCTTCTGGAAATTGTTGCCTGCTATAAGAATTTGTATTTGTATACACACAATTGCTTTTTTGTGCTAAAAGATAACACTCTGACCTGCCTGTCTAGCACTATAAGGTTATGTTAACCTTTGGTCATTGTTTTTCTTGCAGATAAAAATGGAGTTTTTCCTTCTATGCCGAAAAGGTAATTTTTATAGTGTTGTTTTGAATTACAAATTATGCTCATGCAGCCATGCTTTTGATTTTTCACACTGTGTGGTGCTATTCTTGACATATGTTTTATTTGGTTTGCTTGTTCTGCAGCAAAGGTGGCTTCTCATTGTCCTGCTACATATTTGGCTTCTTCATTGTCAATTCATGGACTTAATTCAAAAAAGTTCCAGAAGACTTTTTACTATGGTTTTTTTTACAAGAATATTACTAAAATAAAACTTAATTACATAAATATGACTATTCATTACTACAACGTAGTGTTGTGGTAACTTAAGCTCAAAACTTAAACATGAACTACTATGATTTCATTACTACTCTAGTAACTAGTCATATTTTTGTAAATCATCTTTATTTTGATCATATTTATGTAATTATTTCTTTTACTATAGCTTAACTTACACAGTTCCTATATGTAATCAGGACTACCGGCTGCAGCTAAAGCTGGAATATCCATAGCAGCATTGGCAGCAGTTTTTTTATTGGCAGGTTACGCTTATGTAGTGTTTTTGAGAAAGAAAGGAGAGAAAATTTCATTGCTGTCAATGTCTGAAAGCCAATCACATTTAACAGGTAATGAGAGTTGTTTATCCCTTTAGTCAGACTTTCAAAAAAGAAAGAGAAAAAGAATTCCATCTACTAGTGATTTAGTGCATCTTTTATGGTTTACAATGAGTATGCATATTTCTTTTCATGCAATGATCATGTGCGTACAAGTATGGATAAAATTTTAGGTATTTTGGGAGTTTACACAACCTTTTACGATTATACTTCTTTTCTATGTTGTGTTCATGTTGGCAGTCGTGGACGCAAAAATTACTGGCCGGAGGGGTGGTAGTGTAAAATAATACAGATTATGTACTAGTAATTTTTATATATACATATATACTCCTTATATATTAAAATGTTGGAGTAATTTAGTAATTATACGTACTTGTATTTCTTTTGGTGGGGGCGGCAGCCCCCATTCACTCCCCTTTGTGTGCGCCACTGCATGTTGGGTGTTCGTGGTTGCCTGTATTAGTTATTGGGGTTCTTTCTATAACATGTCACTAAAGTATGACCACATTTCTACATCATGGTCACCATAGTCTCTTAAAATACCACCTTGATGAAGTTTTTCCTTAAATATTACTGAAATAAAACATATGGACAAAAATGTGACTAGAGTCTTTATGACTTATGAGTGTATCATCATGATCACTACAATGTAAATTTGAACATCATCACGGTCAATAATGTTACTATTATAGTCACGTATAATCAATCACATTTTTGTCTACTGCCTTCATTTTAGTCATATATGTATCATTATGTCCACCATAATCACAACAATAAAACATCCAAGCCTTAGTCCCAAAAGAGTTTGGGGTCGGTTCCACCATTATCACTACAACCACTGAACCACTAAAATACCCCTATGGTCACTGCGTATTGAAACTCATTTTTCTATCTGTATATTTTGTCATTTTTTAGTCATTTTCTTGAAATGGATTATGTAATCATCCTTTTCAAAACATCCCTTCATTTCTGTGGGAGGTATTATTCTTCTGTTACCTCAATGAAAGGTTCCTTATTATCTTTAACAAATTTATAAATCAGTGGGTGCATGTCTCATTGGCCTCAATGAATAAATTCAAATTTTAAGAGCTTCCAGAATTTGAGTGAATTAGATGTAATTTTTACAGCAAACTGATCAGTATGAATATATTTCTGAGATTAGGGTTTAAAGATGGAGATCCCGCTCGTGCTACTGATGGAGCTTCTCCAGTCCTTTCAGGCATAACTGTTGAGAAATCTGTTGAGTTCTCATATGAAGAGCTTTCTAATGCAACTAATGACTTCAGTCTTGCAAATAAGATTGGCGAAGGTGGCTTTGGTGCTGTCTACTATGCTGAGCTTAGAGGCGAGGTTTGTGGTTGTTATCATTCTGATGTTTTTTATTGGGTTAATTTTACTTGTTCCCTTATTGGTAAGAAGAAGAGAAACTTGGCATTTAAGCCTCATCTTTACATCAAAATTTAACTTTGCACTCCATACATTGTTTTCTTTTACTTTGCATCCTAGAGCTTTCTAGAGATTTTTTTAAAAGGGAAAAGGGTCAAATAGACTCTTCTACTATTTCAAATCTATCACTAAAGTCCTTATACCAAAGGAAGTATCATATATGTACATGTACTTTAAAGTACAATCAATCAAGCCATTTGACCTGCTATAACAGGTTATTTTTAAAAAAATAGATTAATACTATTGATAAATCTTATACAAATTCTTATAAATTTGAAAATTAATTTAATAATAATACTAAAAAAATTATAAATGCAAAAAAGATAGATAATTTAAAAATGTTAAACTAAAAAGTAAATAAACAGACAAATAAAAAACGTCAAGAGAAAATGTAGAAAATACGAAGTATAAAATATAGGAAAAATTGATAGTAATAATCCCAACTATTGGCGGTCCGCTCATAATAATCCCAACTATCGATTATTTCAGAATAATCCCAACTATAGGAACCTTCCGCCAATAATGGTCCTTATAAATAAATTCTTGTAGTTTTTAAAGTGGATGAGAAAAGATATAGCATGTAATCCCTATAAATAATCCCAACTTTTAATTTTTATGCTTAATTTCTATTTAAAAATCACTTGTTATAGCAGGTAATATATGGTCATGGACCATTATTGGCGGACGGTCCATATAGTTGGGATTATACAAAAATAATCAATAGTTGGGATTATTGTCAGCGGATCGACAATAGTTGAGATTATTATTTTCAATTTTTCCTAAAATATAAAACGTAAAAACCTTTTACATAGATATACTCCGTAGAATATACAATTAATCAAAAAATGAAAAAATATTGGCTTTGACATTCTTAAAAATTTCACAATTTTTATTTATATCTATTCGAACTTTAACAATTTTTAGAGTTTATTAATATAAAAAAACATGCTATTATTGGTTAAAAGCAGATTAAATGGCTGGATTGATCAATTTTTTAATGTAAGCGTAATTATATGATACTTTTTAGTATAGAGGCTTAAGTGATGGATTGGAAATAGTAGAAGGGTCTATTTGACCCTTTTTCCTTAAAAAGTAGAACATGGAGCACAGATTCAAATATTAGGGTAAATGTTGGTGTGAATACCAAATATCCTCTGAAAAATGAGTTCTCCTAGTTTCTCAACAAATACCTTTGTGGAACTGATTAGGAGGGGTTAAGTCTTGAAATACATCTACTAGTTACTTCACTATTCTCTAACAAGAGAAAATTTGAGACTTCGTTCATTAGTGTCTTTGCAGCTTACCTAGTTACCTACCTAACTATTTGTACTTTATCTTTTTCAAAAGTTTTTTTCTTCTTTTGAATGTTTATCTTGTCCGTTATCTTATTTATTTATTTCCCTTGACATTGTCTTGCAGAAAACAGCTATTAAGAAAATGGATATGCGAGCATCAAAAGAATTTCTTGCTGAACTGAAGGTTTTGACACATGTCCATCACCTGAATCTGGTACTGTCAAGGGTGTCATTTTTTTGACAAAAATATGCTAAAAGTATATGTTGCATGTAAGGTGTAAAAAAGAACCAACAAAGGTTGGATTACAGAGTTATTTTTTGAAATTTAGACTCTATTAAATGTAGGTGCGCTTAATAGGGTACTGTGTGGAAGGTTCACTCTTCCTTGTATATGAGTATATTGACAACGGCAACTTAAGTGAACATCTGCGCCGTACAGGTAAAGATTTTTTTGAGCAATTTTCTTTTATTTATTATTATTGCAGCGGTGGGGGTGGAGAGTACCTTTTAATCACTTGATGCATATAAATGCAGGTAGGGACCCACTACCGTGGTCAACTAGGGTGCAAATTGCGCTGGATTCAGCCAGGGGTCTTGAATATATACATGAGCATACAGTTCCCGTATACATCCATCGTGATGTTAAATCAGCAAATATCTTAATAGACACAAACTTTCATGCAAAGGTATCATAAAAGCCCCTAATTTCAGTTTTGGAAATATGGAAAATAGATGGGTATATGGTATCTCGTATGTGGCGTCATGCTGGATAGTTTTTCCATGATTCAGGTTGCTGATTTTGGTTTAACAAAACTGACTGAAGTTGGAGGTTCATCTTTGTCAACACGTCTAGTCGGTACATTTGGATACATGCCCCCTGAGTTAGTTCTACACTGCTATCTCTCTTTCAGGGCGTGATTTTTTCTTTATTTTTCCGTTTATTTTTTAGAAAGATGCTTATAAGTTACCTATTTCTAATTGCCATTACCTATACAGAGCTCAGTATGGAAATGTCACCCCTAAAGTTGATGTCTATGCATTTGGAGTTGTTCTTTTTGAGTTAATTTCTGCCAAGGATGCTATAGTTAAGGCACAAGGTTCTGTAGGCGACTCAAAGGGTTTAGTTTCTTTGGTGAGTTCTATGTCCATACTGTTTAAGTGTTTAGCCATCCTGCATAGGACATATATAAAAATACAAAAAGAACAGGTCAAGCTACTCATCCTTTCAGGCGCCTAGGGGGTGGATATACCCCAAGGGCAAAGGCTATGTTGGGTGAAGCTTAGGGAAACCTAGTTTTTAAAATTTATTTTAGTGTTAAATGTTTTTTCCATTTGGACCGCCCCAATTTTTCCTGCAATCACTTTTCAGCTCATCCCAACATAAATTCTTAGATCTACCTCTGGACCCAACCTTTCAATTTGAGGAATTTATATTGACTAATTTTCCCTTTATAACATTTTTTGCACCTGCAATCTATGGTGCAATTGTTGGTGTAGCCCATGAACCTATTGTTCTTTGTTTGTTTGCGTACCAAAAATGATGTGATTGTTTTCTTCCCACAAATCACAGTTTGATGAAGTTCTTAGTCGACCAGAGCCAGATGAAGCCCTCAGCAAACTGGTTGACCCTAGACTTGGGGAGACCTACCCTATGGAATCTGCCCGCAAGGTACATTAATCTTTAACTTCATTTTCAGTTGGGGTCATTTTGGATTGGAAGACTTTGGAGGGTCTAGTGTATATCTTGAAGACTAATGCACTCCAAAATCCCCCATCCAAACAAATCCTTAATAACTATACTTCTTTGCTAACTACAAAGAATATCATTTATCTTGTCCTCTCTTGGCATTGGCAGTTGGCACAGCTTGCCAAAGCTTGCACTCAAGAAGATCCTCAAATGAGGCCTAGTATGAGATCGGTTGTTGTTGCTCTAATGACACTCTCGTCCACCACGGATGAATGGGATGTCGGCACCTTTTATGGTAACCAAGGAATGATAAACCTTATGTCTGGAAGGTAGTGATATGGTTATGTCAGCATTTCGGTCTGTTTAGATACGAAGTATTTCTTACACTTGTATCATTGCATTATTTATTTATTACCCCATTCTTATTTGTACATAATACTCTAATAGTTTTCTGGGTTAAATAACTGTAAGAGTGTGAACAATGCCATTTGTGGCGTAATATTTGCTCATTTTTTAAAACAGAAGTCATTTTCTTCCATGCAATTGTGGTTGTTATGTGATTTTGAAATACAGTTAGTTTTTTTGTTTGTTAACTGTTATCCCCTTGCATTTGAGCATTTCTGAAAAAGACTAATGACTAAATAATATTGGAAACTACTTTCTTCGTTTTTCAATGGTTACATTTTTTGCTTAAGGTTTGTGTTAGACCTATGGGTTGTAATGAGATCATTTTGTGGTATCATGTATTTCCCAAACTAGGGATAGTGTGTGGTAGGTACGCGATAGCTAATAGTACAGAGTATAATTTAGTCACCCCCTCTGTCTCATGATTTACTTATCCGAAATTCTATTATGAGTTTATGACTAAGGCTTGCGTGTTGTATTTATTGTGATATTGTCATTCTGAGTTAAAGTAATTATCCCTCCTAGGCATGGACCCGGTTCGGGCCGCCCGGTGGCGGTTCTCGGGTCGAGTCCGGGTCGGGCCTAGGCCCGGTGGGGGGGCGGGTCCGGGCTCGGGCCTTGTATTTGGCGAACCGGCCGGGTCGGGCCCGGGCCGAATTGTTTTTTTTTTTTTTTTTTTTCATTTTTTGGGGTTAGCTGGGTTGGGCTTGATGGTTAGGAGGGGTTTGGGGGGTGGGGGGGGTTAGGAAAGCAAAAAAAAAAAAATAAATAAATAAAAAAAATTACCGAACCGGAGGCCCGGCCCGGACCCGGACCGGACCCGGTGGCTACCCGGGTCGGTCCCGGGCCTTCCCAAAAAAAAAAAAAGCCCGGACGGGCCCGGCCCGGCCCGGGTCCATGACTGATCCCTCCATCCTTCTAAGAGTTTCCCATTTTGACCTGTCCCACAACTTTTGTCTCGTACTATATGTTGAGGTTAATTCCTGATTGCAACTTGCAAGGGTTCAACACTTTCCCAGTTTCCCTTGAGTTTCGATGGATGTTTAGTAGATTAAAGGGAATGAAATGGCACAAGTATTTAGCAAATATAAGGGGAGACAGTAAGTGAGTCGAGTTCTTATTAGGCAATATCGAACAATTATAGCACATCCTACTGAAGCGGAAGCCGAGCATCTAATCTGAGCTAGAGTACAGAGAATTAGAGCTAATGCTTAGTGAATAAAAGTTGTTAATCCCTAACTATGAAATAAATGATACTATCTCAGTGCTATATTGGTTGTCCACTTTCAATTTGGCATGATTATTAATAAAATGGTTGAAAAGTAAAAAATTGTGGTTGGGACTTGAGTAGAATAAAGTGAAATGATAAGAACCACACATTTCCCAAAAAAGTAACAAGACATTCATTTTGGGACAATAACAAATGAAAAGTAGGACAATCAAAATGAGACGAAAGAAGTATTATTTACACTACCACGGGGTAGGTGGTGGTGTTGATATGGAGAATCATGAGTGACTAGCTTCCTAACCACCAAATTTTGCATATTTGGTGCATTTTATGTGTTTTCTGCCATTATATTGCTTTCACGCCAAATGTCTTAGACGTTCATACCCGAAGGATTTATGGTCCCAGATCCAAGTAACGCAAGGCCAGGATGCTGCTCGAACTCTGGGCCGAGCATCCCCACTGAGGCCCCCAGTTGATTGTCTGGCTAAAATGGGCCAAGGTATCGGTGACGAGCGTCATACCATACTGACGAGCGCCGGGTGGCCCTTTTGGGCCGTTACCCTTGATCCACTCTTCCTCGTGGGGTGTTGACGTATTAGGTTGATCCGATATTGGATCGATTACACCAACACTATATTTGATAAAAACAGAAGTGAACACCAATAAAAACAGACAAACACAAGTAGAGATATAGAGTATTTTGTGTTTTTAAAGTGTAGAAAAGATACTTAAGCTACTTAAGGGACCGCATTGTGAGTAGAATAAAGAATTGGAATAATAAATTTCTTTCCAGAGCAGGCAGGGCGGTTCTTATCCGGAATGTTTTACAGGCGCTTCCTAATTATGCGATGAATGTGTTTCTACTATCTAAAGATTTATGCGACGAGATTGAAAAGCTGTTAAATGGCTTCTGGTGGAAGGGCAACAAGTTTGACCAAAAGGGGATTCGATGGCGCAGGTGGGAACTCTTGTGCCGGCCAAAGAGGGAAGGGGGATTGGGATTCCGCAGGATCAGGGAATTTAATTTGGCAATGCTCGCCAAGCTGGGATGGCGGTTGATAACAGAGCCGCGAAGCTTAATGAGCAGTCCTGAAAGCAAGGTATTTCCGAAACACAGATTTTTTAAATGCTAAACTGGGGAATAATCCTTCTTTTGTTTGGAGGAGCTTTTTCGAGACTCAAGAAATCTTGAGGAATAATTCCCGCAGACGAGTGGGGCATGGAAGAGATGTGCAGGTTTGGGCAGACGCATGGTTGCCGGGACAAGGAATAGGGCGGATCCAGTCAGCTAGCCCCCCTGGAATCCGAGATATGAATGTGGCAGCTTTGAGGGACCATACGGGGAAGGAGTGGAATAGAGAGAGGATTCGTTCTATTTTTGAGGCGGTGGATAGAGATCTAATTTTAAGCATACCGATTAGCAAAGTGGACAGAGAGGATGGTTACTAGTGGTCAGGGGAGAAAATTGGGAATTTTTTTGTTAAAAGCTGCTACAGGAAACTAGTCAATATAGTTCCGTCTGGAGAAGCAAATACTTGGGCTAACTTGTGTGTCACGCCCCGGACCTACCGGACACGTCAACAACCCGCCGTACAGTACGAATAGTCAACCGCAGTCCAACTCATCCATACTATACTAGGCGTCTTGAATACCATTCACACATAGAACATCCATAAACAACATAATGTAAAATAATCATTTAAAGCAGCGGAAATGTTCAATACAAAGTGCACGCCACACTTTGGCAACATGGGCATACAAGCCCTAAATACATATTAAAGAAAAATAATATCCATGAGCATGGTTTAAATCGTTTTCAAAACAGAAACAGAAGGAGCACGAACCACGTCTTCTTCTCTTGAATTCTCCGATACAACGGGCGGTAGCGGCAAGCTTTAATCCCGACCTGAAACTGTGAGGTGGCCTCCCCCGTGAAGGGGAGGTCAGTACTTGGAAGCATTTGACAAGTACAATGACAACTATACTAAGTATAATCAAAGTTTCAATTTCCAAGACCCTCAACTTAGGATGTTACTATTTGAAATTAATTTATGTTCTTTCATGCTAGAGCTCGGCTCATAGTCATGTTAATTTGTGCTAGAGCTCGGCTCATAGTCACACCACATTTTGCTAGAGCTCGGCTCATAGTCATTCCTACATTTTTGTGCTAGAGCTCGGCTCGTAGTCACACTACATTTTGCTAGAGCTCGGCTCATAGTCATTCCTACATTTTTGTGCTAGAGCTCGGCTCATAGTCACACTACATTTTGCTAGAGCTCGGCTCATAGTCATTCTACCACGTGCTAGAGCTCGGCTCGTAGTCACGTCATCTAATCCCTAAACCACTTCTTAGTCTAGGCTCCATTCCTTTTGAGTAACCCTTGAGGTCTACTCCTAACATAACTTGACTTCGTAAAGTCCACCCTAATTATCCTTTAAGGTTACTTAGCTTCAATATTTTGGGATTAGCTCCCAAGCACTATTGAACTAACATCCCCGACTAGTCTTCAATACTAGTCGTCTAATCTTAATAAGCCAACGCCAATTTCATAATAATTCATACATTTCAATTTAATTTCACCTTCAAGTATAACTTGATTCAATATCAAAATATCACTTTTATTCCCTTCATGAGGTAAAAGCATATTTATCACCATACAATTTTATAGCCTACACCACAATTGGGTCATTATAATCACAACACATAATCATACACAATTTATTCTTAAATTTGTATATTATGCATTTTCTTTATGAACAATACTATATTCCATTTTAGGCATTCTTAATCATAAATAACTCATGCCAAACACATACAATTCATTTAGGCAATCTTATGAAATTAACCCAATAATTATAAACAATATAGTCGGTCATCCTCACCTTAAGTGAGCTCACGCGCGTTCTACGCTCTCCGGTTGAACTTTGACTAATTTCCGGTGAACTTTGACCAACTCCGGCGAACTTTGACCAACTCCGGCGAAACTCCGGCGAAGCTCAAAAATACTTTAATCAAGTTCCTAACAAGGTTTTAACATCATAAAACCTTAATCAATACAAATAACCTCTAAAAGGTTATTTTCCGGTGAACTTGTCGGTTTGGCTCCTAAGTCCGTTCTTGGACTTAGAACCACTCTTCAACCCATTATTCCACACTCTTAACATGTAGAATAATCCCAAGGGTTCTCCATATGATGTATACATCATATGAATGAGGAAAAAATAAATGAAAAGTTAATATAGGGTCATTACCTTAACCCTTTCACACTTTTAGCACTTTAGCTCCTTTTCTTGGGATTCTTCCTTCAACAATAGAGAAATGAGGATGGGGAGTTCCTGGGTTTGCTGGGTGTGAGATGGCCGAGAGTGAGGGAAAGGAAAGGAGAAGAGTGGTGCTTTTGTCTTTGTTAATCAAATGGGTGTGGATAGGGTCCACCTCATTTATGTTGATGCCATTTCTCTCATTTCACAATCCCCCTCCCCATGTTCCCCCATCTTACCAGCCGGCCAGCACTCCCTTGAGTGTCCAAATTCGTGGGTTGGCCCCCACCCATGTGGGAGGTCAACCCTTTTTGTCCAGAAATGTACAATTCGTCCCGAAAGTTGTATTTTTCGGACTGTTTTAATTATATTTTATTTTATCGGGTCAAATAAAATATATTATGTGTTATTAATCATTATACCCTCTATAATGAATATACATTTCCCAACTTTAATTTATAGGTCTCCGAAATCCAACTTCGGGCTTCCACCGGTTAAATTACAAATACCGGTATATAGGCCTCTTTTGACCAACCGGTCAACTCTGGGCCTTTCCATTGCTCAAATGAGATATCCCCCACCATATAAATATTATCTAGACCAAGATGAATAAAATATACGGTCTCGGGAATATCGGGCGGCTCCCGCTCCCGGTGCGGGCCCCACGTGCGAATTTACTATTCGTGCGAAAGAATTAATAAAAAT